GGGCGGGCGTTAGAGTCAGCATTTCTGTTTCCGTTTCTTTGAGGTCCCTTTTTTTTCCGTTTTGGGTGGGTGACTTTTTAGTCAGTTACGGGTTTTTTTTATGTTAGTACCTTACATCTTTCACATTTCGAATTCCCCCCTCAATGCACGGAAACTGCGATCAGGTCCCCGTTCTAGGCTATTTTTGACGGTCATTCAAATTATTGAAATTGCTATTAGGCCTTAAAGCATTCGAAATTGCTACTATGTCTCCTATTACTTAGATTATTTTGAGATTAGGTTCTTTAGATAGTTGACATTGGCATTGGATCTCCCAATTCTCAAAAATTGTTTCTAATTGATCTGTTTAATTGCTAGTTGTGCTCATGATTTGGGGACCTCATAACTTTTTTTTAGGGACTAATTTGGAAGATACTCGCCCTTGTGTTTGGGCGCGTCTCAGATGCCCCCTTTAAATCTCAACATTTTTCAGATCACCCCCTTAAAGCATGAAAAGAAAATTGTATTGACAAAATATCCTCTTTCTTTTTTTTTCCAACCCGTGTGAAAATGGTTGCTAATGCCATTTGGGGATTTTCTGGGAAAATGTTGGAAGTGTAAGAGCATCTCCAACAGTTTCTCTAAAATTTTCTCCAAAATGAGGAAGCAAAAGTCATATTCTCCAACTAATTTTTCACGTTTGCTATATCCACTCTCAAACAGTAATTTTGGGAGTTGGATTGCCGAAAATGCCCTTTTTGTTGCCCTTGTGTTATTAAATGCCCTTGTGTTATTAAATGCCCTTATGTAATTTGTGTTATTAAATGCCCTAAAATCCATCAATAGTCAAAGGCTGTTTGCCTTTTCAAAAATTCGAAATTTTTTACTAATTTGAATTTCCAATACAATTTACACAAATTACATAAAATCGTTTTTTTCAAAAATCGTTTTTTTCAAAAATCGTTTTTTTCAAAAATAAATTACACCACTCAGAATTTTTATAACAATTTTCATTTCCAATACAATTTTCATTTCCAATACAATTTACACAAATTACATAAAATCGTTTTTTTTCAAAAATAAATTACACCACTCAGAATTTTTATAACAATTTTCATTTCCAATACAATTTTCATTTCCAATACAATTTACACAAATTACATAAAATCGTTTTTTTTCAAAAATAAATTACACCACTCAGAATTTTTTACTAATTTGATTTGAGCACTCAGAATGTCAAAATTGATTTTGACCCCTTAGATTTTTACCTATAAAAAGGCCAACAGTTTAAGTTTTTCAAATCACAATCACAACTCAAACACTCACAACTCAAACACTTACAATTACAATCACAAACAATATGAATTCTGGAGATTACAACTCCATAAATCTTGATGAAGTTGAATTCGTCATCGACGAAACACAAAGTGATCCATTCCAGGATCATAGTTCATATGTAGAGTTTGAAGACATTTCAACCGATTTCGGTAATCCGGAAGGAGGTTTTGCTAGTAGAGAGGACATGGATGCTCATGTAAGATATGTTGCTGGCTTGAGGAACGTTACTTTGGCAATTCGTGATTCGAAGGGAAAAGACGGCCGACGGCCCAAAGTTCGATATTTATGTAGCCAAGGTGGCGGATACAGACCAAAAAAGGTTACTGGAACTAGGTCCACTAAAACGACAAAAAATAATTATCCATTTTGGTTGGACGGAATGGACTACCCTGGAGGGCGCTGGTACTTTGAAGTCCGGGGGGGGAGACACAACCATCCATTCCTGTCTCATGCTGTGGGATCTCGTTTAGGTACAATATCCCCTATTCAACTTGAAGTTATTAGGGAGCAAGAGAATTTTAATTTAAGCCCGAGTAATATGTTGGTGTCCATGAAAAGGGCTGATCCGGAGAACAAATCGTGTCAGAAACAAGTTTACAATGCTGTTAGTAAGGTGTGTGCTCAGAAAAGAGAAGGTCGGACCCCGATGAATAATTTCATCCATTTACTCAGGCAATTGAACTACATATACGACGTTTGGACTGCTGATGAATCTTCCGAACTTGGAGATATTGTTTTCTGCCACCCGGCTTCTTTTGTGATGGTGAATGTGTAACAACCGTGAATTTTGTTACGTATTTAAATAAATTTTTCTAGTATTTAAAATGATATATTATATTTTAATAATATTTTTCCTAAATTCAGGAATTTTTTGAGTTTTCAAAATAAATAAATAATAAAATATATAATCTTATATTTTTAATTCTGCTAAATATTAAATTACGGTACGGTTTAGTGTTTTTTTTATCATTTGGTGATTGATATTATTAATGACCTTGTTATTATTAATGTAAACTTGAGTATAGTACATTAGTATATGAATATTAATAAAAAGATTTTTGGTTGATTATTAATTATTAATATAATTCAGAATATTATGTGGAATTTTCGAATTTTCCCTCTCTTATTTTTTTCTCATTTGAATTTGAATTCTTTCCTAATTCCCCCCAAATCAATTCCTAATCAACTCTTATACACCTTCCCATTTTACTCCCATATTTCTCTCTCCCCTTCCATAAAATAAACATTCCTTAACTCTCCCGTACACCCCCTATCAACCCTATCAAAATATACATATAATATTAAACCATCTCTCTCTCCCTCAGATCTCAAAAACTCCATCCTCCAATCTTCTTCCCCAACCCGACCTCACCGCCCCCAGCACCAAAAACACCACGACAACCACCCCCGCTCGCCGCCGTTCGCCTGAACCCCCTCTCCGCCGCTCTTCTCCGTCGAAACCCGCCGCCTGCACCCGAGCTCCGACCACTCCCAGCCCAGACCCGCGCTCGTCTCCGCCTCCAAGATCGCCGACGACGCCGCCCTACCCCTATCGCCGTCGAGCCCTCACCCAGCTCCCACGACAGCCGTCAGCCGCCAGCGCCTCGCCTGACCGCCGCCCTCCTCTGTCCGTCAGCCACAGCGCCACCCCGAGCAGCCCCGACGACGCCGTCGAACGCCTCCTCCTCGCCGGCAGCCGCTCGACAGATCCGCACCGTCCCGTAGGCAAGATCTCGCATCTTCGTATTTTCCCGTTTTACAATTATTATTGATTAAGTAATTTAATTAGATTTGATAATATCGGTAATGTGCATATTGTGAATATTTGACGTGGAATGTGGATAAATAGTATTAGATGATATTTTAGGGGTAATATGGAGATATTTTGTGGTAATTATGTCGGAGAATTTAACGTGCATGAAATGATGAGTATATGTGTTGTAAATAGATTTTACGAGACATTAATAATTTTGTATATTTATATATAACTATTTTCGGACATGAAATGATAAGTTATGTGTTAAAATTTGAATTTACGTAATTTTTATCGAAAAGTAATTAATTAAGGTAATTTATAAAATAGGAAAATATTATTGTTCATGTAGAAAGGAATTAACAATTTTATGTATATATATTTTTGTATTTTAAGTTAATTATTATGAGAAATAGTTTTAAAGAATAATTTTGGGAAAAGAATATTATTATTTATGAGAGTACGACTGATTGTCGTAGAGCACGACATTTCATGTGCAAAACGACATCGGTTTCTAGTTTTCTATTTACCGTATTATTATATTAAAGAATACGTAAGTACAGATATTTTTGGCTCTGTGTGAGATGTGGACCATTGAGTGTTAGGTTGGTTAGTATTTGACCCAGTTATCGTACTCACATAGATGTATGTTACTATTCGATTACCAGTTGCATGTATTATTGTCTTTCCTATTAGTATTCCTATCATTATAGTATGGGTCGTTAGACCGTTTTATTTGTTCATGTGAGATCTTGCCGAGTGCCATGCACCCTGACGTACACCTGTTTTTCTGGTGTGCGTCAGACTTAGGAGACGGACAGGTCCAGCTAGATGTTGATGCAGAGCCAGTGTATGCCGAGCCGGAGTATCCTGCCGATGGAGTTGAAGAACAAACCGAAGTCTAGATGTGTTTTCCTCTATAGTAGCTAATGAACATTAGAACTCGTTATCTTTTTATTCTTTAGTTAATGTCGGATTTTCGTATTTGGCCGTATTTTCTTTTATGGACTATGTATTTTATTTCTGTCTGGACCTGTTTTGTAATAAGGGCATGTTTGACCCATATTTTTTATGTCTGGGATGATTATTTCTTATTCTGGATTGTCTTTCTATTCTTGCTATTGTGATCGGGGACCTGTGATTGAGATTTACGTATTTGACGCTTAGCGTATTAGATTGAGAAGAAAAGAAAAAGAAAGAATTATAATGGTGTATATTTCTTCTCAACCTAATACGTTGCGGACTTGTTCACATCCCGTTTCCTGAATATTTTGTGAAACGGGGCGTGACAGGTTTTAGTGGTGGCCCATGCAAGTCACGGTCCCGAGTCCTCACTAGTAAGAATATGGTAGACAATTTAGATACATATCATATTTCATCCGTAAGACTACAATTAAGTTTTATATTATTATTTTAGACTATAATTAATTTCTTATACTAATATCTTAATAACTATGTTTTAACTCCTATTTTCTAATATATTGTTTTGATTTTAACCCTAATTATTTGATCCTCGTTTTCCTTCAGAACTATGGCTGGTACTCGCGGTGTTAGTAATCCGTCTAGTAGCAGTGCCCCACAGCCTGAAGTGGATCCCAACCAACTTCTGGCGATGATTCAGGGGTTGGTTACCAATCAGCAGCACTTGGCGGGACAGCTTCACAGGGAGCCGCAGCCCCAACCTCCCCCTCGTCTAGAGTCTGGCGTTAGAGAGTTTCGATATATGCGGCCTCCTTCCTTTTCTGGTGCCGAGGGACCTCTAGCGGCAGAGGAGTTTCTCAAGGTCACAGAGACCATTCTCACGGTGACCCGCATTCCCCATGCTGAATGGGTGGATCTGATGGATATCCAGCTCACTGACACCGCTCGGATTTGGTGGACTGCAGAGAAGACTCATTTAGAGAGGCCCATCTTGTGGGAGGCGTTCACCGAACGCTTCAATAGGAAGTATTTCCCTCAGTCAGCTCGAGACGAGCTTTTGCGAAGATTTGTGGAGCTCAAACAAGGAGGGCGGACAGTAGATGAGTACGAGGCTGAGTTTTCCTCCCTGAGTCGATATGCTCCTCATCTTGTTACAGACCCGACGATTAGGAGGCATCAGTTCCAGAAGGGTCTGGACAAGTACATTAGGATGGCTCTGGCAGGTAGAGCTTTGGCGACTCATGATGCGGTACTAGATGCAGCACGGGAGATTGAGAGCGTGCATAAGGAGCCTGAAGACTCTCATGTGGTTCAGAGCAGGACACCAGCGGCTCCGGCCCGGAATGTTGAGCGTCCCCCTTCGAGACAGCAGCAGCAGGGTCCGCAGAGGCAGCAGCACTCTCAGCGTCAGCCATTCCCTCAGAGTCACCCTTATCAGCGCCCGGGAGTGCAGACTCGTGGCCAGCCTTCGGTGAGGTGTTCATATTGTAGCTACCCTGGCCATACTCAGCAGGATTGCCCCAGGCGTCTTCATCTATGCTTCAGCTGTGGGTCCCCCAGCCATATCAGTCGAGATTGTCCTCAGAAACAGCATGCTCGTTTGCCACCACCTCCAGTTAGAGCGGCCCTCCCAGCACCACCTCGACCAGCCATGGCAGCACCGCCTCAGCCCAGACCCTATCCTCGAGCAGGGCCACTTCCCACACAGCAGCAGGTATTTCAGGAAGTACATAGGCAGCAACCTCGGCGACAGACGTTTATGATGTCAGCCGTAGAGGCTGAGGCGAACGACCAGGTTATTACTGGTAAGAATGGCTTATTCTAAGTTTTAATTGCATATGAACTTCTTTAATTAGCATTAATTGATAATATCATGGTAGGATTGTTTATGAATATTAAGTTAGTTGCATTTACATCCTCCTAAATAGGCAAGGTTCTTGTTTCTTCCGTACCTGCCTTATCCCTCTTTGATTCGGGAGCCTCCCACTGTTTCTTGTCTCGTCGATTTGCGAGTGCCCATTCTCTTCCTATAGCTTCTCTGACCACGGGCTGGAATATCAACACTGGTAGTGGCGTTTTAGTGGCATCCAGTGGTTATGAAGCATGCCCTGTGGTTATCTGCGGGAGGGAACTCTTTGCAGACTTTTTGGTGATTGATTTGCCGAGTTTTGATGCCGTGTTTGGGATGGATTGGTTGGGGTCGTTCTTTGCCACCATTGATTATCGCCGTCGGAGCGTAGTATTCGAGATACCAGATCACCCGAGATTTGAGTTCACCAGTGGCAGCACATCGGTTGGACCTGTGGAGTTCAAAGCTAGACCGAAGAAGACGACGTTATCTGCAATGCAAGTGGAATCGGAGAAGCCAGTTGTAGTTCGGGAATTTGAAGATGTGTTTCCCGACGATATTTATGGATTGCCACCGGATCGAGCGATTGAGTTTTCTATAGATTTGAAGCCTGGAGTTTCGCCGATCTCCAAGACCCCTTATCGTATGCCTCCGGCAGAGTTGGCTGAGCTTCGGACTCAGTTGGATGATCTTTTGCAGAGAGGGTTGATACGACCTAGTGTATCGGCCTGGGGAGCACCTGTGTTGCTTGTGGGGAAGAAGGATGGATCCAAGCGGATGTGCATCGACTACCGGGAGTTGAATGCGGTGACAGTGAAGAATAAGTATCCACTTCCCCGTATCGATGATATCTTTGATCAATTGGGAGGATCGAGAGTATTTTCTAAGCTGGATTTGCGGAGCGGGTATCACCAGGTGAAGGTTAAGGATTCTGATGTCCCCAAGACTGCATTCCGGACGAGATATGGACATTATGAGTTCTTAGTGATGCCGTTTGGTGTGACTAATGCACCTGCGACATTCATGAACCTGATGAATCTAGTATTCTATGATGTGCTGGACAAGTTTGTGGAAGTCTTTATTGATGATATCTTGGTGTACTCTAAGAGTGAGGAGGAGCATGCAGAGCATTTGCGGTACGTGTTGAAGACCTTGAGAGAGCATCAGCTATTTGCCAAGTATAGTAAGTGCCAGTTCTGGCTGGATCGTAGTGCGTTTCTGGGACACGTGGTGTCAGGAGACGGCATATCAG